CCCCAAAACCCCAAAACCCCAAAACCCCTTTAATCAATCATAATCAAAAATAGCAAGTTAAGAATTAATATAATAATTTAAAATTATGAAAAAGCATATAAATTCAGCTTAAAGTAGCCCAAACAGGGTGAAACTTAATATGAAAACCAAATAATTTATGAAAAATGCAGCAACAATGAATTAAAACTAGTCTCTTGTAACTGGAGGAGAACTCTAGCACCCATTAAATTACTCTAGCTTTATAAATTCTCAACTTTCACTATAGTCCTAGAAAAGTTAAAGAAAAGTAAACTTTTATGCAAGACCATAAACAACGATGCTCCCAAATAATTCTGTAGTTTCATCTTCTACTAAAAACAATGAAATGCCAGCCAGAGAAATCAAACTAAGTGCATTTGCAACCACTAGAAGAGGTTCAATGGATGAGGCGTTGAATGCATCTACAGTAGTTGAATCAACTGATAAGGAAAAGGAACTCAAAAAATAAATGAATAAGTCATCTGCGCACATAAAGCCAGATGTATTATTTCATAAGAAACAAATGCGCTCAAATACTCCTTTTTAAAACAACCTTGACTATCAGATGTCTAGCCTATTTCCAGACTTGACAATTAATAGAAAGTAAAACGACTCCTTGCTTAATTAATCACTTCTGGATAATATGCCGATAAGCCAACAAGAAAACTGAGATGTGAATTAAGTGCAATTGAATCCATACCTGAAAAGCAAGATCAGATTATAATCTATAACTCCTGAAATTGCTGCCAATGTAGTTAAAGATTACATTTTGCCTATGTTTGAAAATGATGGGAAGAAATTTATCAAGAGGAAAAATCTTAGAAAGCTCCTTAACAATTAATCAGGCTAGCCAATAGAAAGTAAAATTTAATTAATAAAATGTTACTTTAGATCCTAATATCGACATGAATCCAGTTATGCACGATGATGATAGAAAAAAAGAGATAGAGAAGCTTAAGAGTGGGAAGCTTTCAAACACAGTCTACTCTGAGATGAAGTTGTCCAAGATTCTTTAGGACTAAATCAATGAACTAAAAGAAGAAATAAGGCAACTTAACGAGACCATTTAAGACCTATATTAAGACAAACAGAAGATGGTAAAAAGAATGAAGGATAATAATATGAAGACAATCAAGAATAATAATGAGATGCATGTACTTATATAGCAATTAACTATTTCTGAAAAATAAAGAGTAATGCTTGCTATGTAAAATCAGAATATGGAGTAGTAAATTAAATAGCTAAAAGCTTTGTTTATTTATAATGAGGATAGCAGAAGATAGTTTAGTGATTAGCTCTAGAAAGAGAAAAATAAGAATGATATCTTTTGAATATTGATGATGGATATACTTTAAAAACTTAACTATTTTCACAAAAATTGGGTAATAATTGTATAGAACAACAATATAGAGCAGGCTTGCTAGATTTGGAAAATGATGTAATGCGAGAAAAATTATAAAGATTATATGATGCTATGGATTCCTTAGGTTCAGCTAAAATTATTGAAGACAGATACTAGTCTAAACTATTAATAGAAGATCAGAAGATGAGAAACTAGGCAGCTTAGATTGAAATACTGCAAATGGATATTAAAAAATATCTGTCTGAGTCAAATGATTAGAGCTTATTTTTAAAGGATTTACAGGTTAAAGTAGCCAACTTACAAGTTGAGAAGATAAAACAGAATGCTTACTTCAAGGAAAAGGTTGCATTACTGGAGAAAGATAGAGATGAAGCAATTTAGATAAAAGAAACTAAGCAAGAAGAATACATTATGCTTTTGAAACAATTTCAGATCATTGCAAATGAAAGAGAGAAATTAAAGAACAAAATCTAAAAACTAAAGCAGAGAAGAAACATAGACTTCAATCAGAAGATTTGCAGAAACTGTGGAAGGGAATATCTCGAAAGTGACAATTATAATTGGTCTTGCAGAACTCATAGAGTAAAATCATATTAAATAAAACTTATAGTCTGATTATGGAGGTGAAATGTGGTGGTGTTGTGGCAAGACTGGAATAGATGCACATGGTTGCAAATATAGCAAGCATGAGTCGAAAAATGAAGAGGATGAGGATAAGGACAACTTAGATGATGACTTACTAAGGTAGAAGTAGCTGAAATGCTTTTGTTGCAAGGAAAAAGGTCATAGGACTGAAAATTGTCCCAGAGATCCCAACATCAGATAAAATATGGATGTCTCTAAAGAGGATATGAGGATAAAAGAGATAAAGGACAACAAGAAGGTAAATTAATCATAATCAAGTTTTACATTTAGCTTAATGGAGATTCGGTGCTTATTAACGGTAAATTGATGGAAATTCTTTCTAAAAAGAAGTAATAAGATATCTTTGGCTAGGATATTATGTCTTTTGATGATTTCAATTACGGACTTCTCAATGACTATATTTTCAATATGATAAAATCAACGATTGAGTCTCAAGAAAAATCATCTGAAAGTTCGTTCAAGATTGATGATGATGATGACGAGAGATAGTAATAATAATCTTAAACTTCTAATAGCCTCACGAGAAAGCAGACTATCTTTTCACATCAAATGAACAGTATGTTTAAGAGATAAACAACAACAAAACCGAAAAAGCTGTTTAACAAAGGTTAAGTAAATTAGATAATTGAGAGTCAAAATAATGATGTTTTCAATGAATTAATCAACATCAAGATGGAATCAGTAATTGAGAATCTCAGGACTAAGAATTTCATTAATCTAGAGGATGAACTTGGAATGATGATTACTCATCATGAGAACTTGAAAAAGACAAAGTCAAAGAGAGGACAAAGTGTTCAAGGTTCAACTGGATCTAAAACTATATATTTGTCCTAAACAAACTCAATGATTCATTTAAAATAAGATTAAAATCAAACTTTTACTCCAAAAAATGGCTAATTTCTTGAAGTACCTGGTAAAAATCCTTTAGATATTGTAAAAGAGGACTCATTTGAATCTTCGCTTAGATCCCATTAGAATTAATCTCCATAAAAATCATTGTTTCACATTCAGCTGAGACCTCAAAAATGGAATCTAGACAATATGAATGATATTAATGAGAACGATGATAATGGCTTGAGAGAATCATTTGAGCATGAAGCTGTTTATCCAGTGGTTAGACTTTCATAGCAAAATGTGCAATAGTTTGAATAAGATCTTAAAAAAAATCAAGAAAAAATCAGAAGAATGAATTCTTTCAAAGCAAAACCAAGTACATAATCACCTAGTATCGATAGATAGAGTTTCTAGAATTTAAAAGACAGCTAAAACCAGAAAATAAAGATTATGCTAGGAAATGATGAAGATTCTATAAGTAAGGAAAATATTTTCAATGAGAGAAATAAATAAAATTTTAAAAAGCATGTAGAAGTTAAATTAGACCCAGGAACACCTAGAAGGGCTCTTAGTAATGAAGCATTAAGTAACGCTAGAATTAGAAGCTAAATGGCAATTTAATAGTTGAATAATTCTGTCATTGATAATAATCATCTACAAGTAAATGGTGGTGCCAAATATAAGTAAAACTAAGTTAATTCATTTTCTTCTCTGAGTTCAGATTCAGATTTAGACTAACCTTCACAATTGGAAGATAATATGAAGCTAAAGAAGAAGAATTCCTTATCTCCAAGCAGGAAAATAAAAGAGGAATAAAAAATTGAGAAGAAAGTCTTAAGAGATATAAAAATGAAATAGAAAGAAAAAGAAAAAGACACAGATAAATTAAAACAAGAAAATAAAAAATAAAGCAAAAAGTTTGTTTAAATCAAAGATTGATCAATTATTTGAATGATATTGCTAGTAATATATTCTAGATCTTGAACTAATTAATATTTTGATTTCATAATTATCTCCCAATAGCCACTAGCGGGGTTTTGGGGTTTTGGGGTTTTGGGGTTTTGGGG